CGGCTGCCTTGCCCAACTGAGGGTGACTGGGCTGGTGGGCAGAGATGTACTAAGAAGCCGTGCAAGCATCGGCATCATACCCAGCAGTAGCCGATACCTTATTTGCACCATTATTTCGTCGGCAGCCCATGTACAGGTTCAGAGGCCCACATCCCGCCCCCAGGTCGGTCCCCTATTGATGGGCGGAGAAACTGTGTGCAGCATTCACGCAAGTACATGTACCTCATCCGAGGGCCCCAGCCCACTGCAAGACTCCCCAAATGTACCCGCTACCAGCGTCTCTCCTCAGCGACGGGATGGCGGACTCTCGCTCTGTGCGTGGCGTTTTAGCGGCGAAATGCCCGCTAGCGCCTACTGCCCCCGGTGTCCCCGCCCTCTCCAGGTCCACTGGAGATTAGCATCATCCCCACTCGTCTGCTTCCACTGGGGAGACTGGTATTAGTGCGCGGCGCTGTTCAGGCGAACCAAACGGTGTTCTCTCCCCCCCCCAAACGGCTCCCTAGCAGAAAGTACGTGCAGACCACTGCTGGAAGGAAACCAGGATCTGTTACATTTTCCCGCAACCTGCCTGGACATGGGAACGAAAAACCTGGAGGGTTTCGGCTTCGGTTCCATTAACATATAGCATCACCCTCCATTTTCGCCCCTCTTCCTCCCTCGTCCTTTCAGGAACATCGTCGCCGCCGCTTGATGAACTATTGCTGAGGAGCTCTGGGCTGCGAGCGCGCCGAGCCCCTACACCACTCCTCTGTCCTGCGCTTTGCCTCGCGACAACCGTGACAACCACGTCTCGGTGGTTGAGCTGTGCCTCTCCGAGAGTTAGCTCTCTTGTTTGATGCGCCATGGTTGATTGGCCGCTCTCCATTTGAGCTGGAGGGATTGAACATTACCAGCCGGGCCCGAGATTCACTGGCGACTACCGTTCCTCGGCTGGAAGAATCTTCCAAAACTGTTGCGCCCAGCTTGATTGCGCCCAGCCGGCTCGCCCTCTCATCGGACCATATTTGAAGGGCCCTGAGCAACGCTGCGTCTCCCGCCTCAACGACCGCGTCGTCTCGGTGTAGCTGGTTCATCAAGCCAGTCTTTTGGCCCTCATTTATCTTTCTCCTTTTTTTCCCCCTTCCTGATACTATTTTTTAATCTCGTCCTCTTATCGTCGCCAGCATGGTTATGGTCACTACCCAATTTCGTGATACCAAGCTACAACTGCCCCTCTCCCCGGCAAGCACGACAATATTAGGACCCCCTCACGATTTCCCTGTAGGCTCGCCGGTGGCCATGATGGACGCCTCCATGAGCTTAGGTAGCCACACCATGGAGAGTGTCGACATTAAGCATGAGGACAGCATGGATGGCCAGCCCGAGGGACGGAACGGCGTCTCTCCTAACTCAGATGAACCCGCTCGGAAAAGGAGACGGAGCCGTAAAGGACTCGACAAGAGATTTGAATGCGCAACCCCGGGATGCGGGAAGAGCTATTCCCGTGCCGAACATCTGTAGGGCTTGATTCTTTCCTGTCAGAAATACCCCCCAAGGCCCGAGATACTGACAAGAGGGGCAGATATCGTCACCAGCTCAACCATAGCTCCAAGCAGATTTTCGAGTGCCAGTATCCAAACTGCGGGCGCACCTTCGTCCGCAGTGATTTGCTCAAGCGACACATGGATCGACACATGGCAAAGGGCTCTCAGCTTAGTCGGCGTGACTCAGTTATCAGCCATGTATCTCAGGCGGCAGCAGCAACGGGGTCGACGTCTCCCGACACTAACCGAGTGGCGCCCGTACTGCCAAGGGCAGCGTCGGTAACTGATTACCTCCCATCTCATGAGGTATCTGACGGCTCTCCAACCACACCGCACCCGCCGTTTGGTTTTGAGTCGCATCACAATGGCGTGTCCGGTCATGATATGGATTCCTATGGTGATCATTCGGGGTATCAAAATATGCACCAACAACACGCCCCTCACTCGCCCATCGTAACACCTCATGGCCCAGTCCAATCACAAGTCTCGCTGTATCCGATAACCTCGCCTGCGCCCCAATATGATCGGTATGATGAGCAATTGGACTCATCACAGTTCGTCCCCCAGCAAGCGGTGATACCCTTTACCCTCCCCCCATCTCAGTTTGTCAATGTACCTCAGACCGAAGATGGACATGGCACATACTCATCGAATCTTGACTATTCGGAACATCCGCCTACGGACGAGATGATGATGTTAGGGAACATGGCGCTGCAATCAATGCCCATGTTTGGGACGGATGGTGAGATTGCTAAATCACCCTACGCTGGCTTGCCGGAAGATTTCCTTTCCTTTCTTTTCAACAACTCCCCACCTGGCCGACAACCTGCGCTGAGCAAGGAGGAGGTACAAGCATATAACGAGTGAGTAATATTGTGTCGACCCAGAAGATTTTGACATGAACATAGAACCAGCCATTGCTGACTTTGAATAGAAACTATGCGAAGATACTCAACGTCCAATTCACCGCATTCAACAGGCCAGATCTCTCAGCCCTAGGTTACTCCCCAGCCCCCCAACAACTTATGGCTGTGAATACATTATTAGGGCAGGTCCCAGAGTCAACCATCTCAGATTCTAAATGCGAAGAGATTCAGAACCTCGTCAGAAGTACTTTCCGCTCCAAGCCAGGCGACCCCGATGACCGTCGCTTCGATGACTTGTTTGACGGTGGAGTAATTACGGACGACCACATGTTAAGTAAGAGGATGATGCAGCTATACATTGCAACATACTGGGCGCAGTTCAGTGACCAAATGCCAATCCTCCACCGGCCTACCTTCTCGCCAGATAACACAGAGAACCTTCTCCTCCTTTCGATGATGATAATCGGCGCCGCGTTGCTGGATAGAAATCACGGGGCCAAAATTGTTCGCGCAGGAGCCAAACTATCCAACTTCCTCGCGTGGCACCTGCGGTGGGCGATTTTTATGGCCGGCGACTTCCATCCGCCAGCCAACCTGTTCGTGTTTCAGGCAATGATTCTTCTTGAGCTATATGAGAAGATGTATTCAACGAGAGAGCTACATGAGCGTGCACATATTCACCACGCGACTATGATACAATTGATGCGCCGTGGTCGGTGTCTTATTGGGAAATCCGCATTAGACTCGCCGCCCAACCCGGTCGACAGCGCGAATGGCTCGCGCCAATCTTCAACGTGCGGGATGGCGCAGACGGCAGAGGAATGGTGGCACCAGTGGATTGTGAACGAGGCTACCAGAAGAACGGCCTTTGCTGCATTCATTATCGATTCAATTCATGCGACAATGTTTGGCCACTCAGGGGTCATGGTGGCTCATGAGATGAGACTGCCGCTTCCATGCGATGAATCACTATGGCGGGCCACCAGCAGTGCCGAGGTAGGAAAGCTGGAATCAAGCCTCATGGCTAGGGGAATCAAGCCCGTGTCCTTTCTGGATGGCTTGAAGCGCACGCTGACTCACCAGACAGTGCAGACAGACTCCTTTGGGCGGACTGTTCTCATGTCGGGTCTGCTGAGTGTCACCTGGCATATGCATCAAAGGGATCTCCAAATCAATATGCTGGGTGGAGGGGTTTCAACCTCATTGGGTGGACGCGACAAGTGGCGGGCTACACTTACGAGGGCCTACGATGGGTGGAAGAACAATTTTGATCAGTCCCTGGAAGAAATGGTCACGTCAATGGGTCCATACGAACCGGACGAAGCGACCCAGCATGAGATCAATGTGGCTTTCGAAAACCGAACGGTAATGCACCGGCTGGCTCACATTGCCATGCACGCAGACATTGTGGACTTGCAGATGTATGCGCGAGCAAAGAGGCTATTAGGCCGCTCCATTGGTCCACACGAATTCAACAGTGCTTCCCGGCGGATCAAGGACGCCTGGGCCCCGTCTGCGAGGGCACGCGATGCAATGTGGTATGCTCTGAAATTTCTGTGCTCAGTCTTGATCCCAGATGCTGTTGCGCCGACACACATCAGGACGTATCGCGCAACGAGGCCCTACAAGGCCAAGGACGATGTCTTGCTCAATCGTCCCTGGGTTCTCTATTTTGCTGCTCTCGTTGTTTGGTGCTACGGGTATGCTCTGGAAGGTCCATGTCCAGATGCCCCTTATCCAGCAGACGACAAGGAAATGATGCAGCAGATGCGGGACTATCTCATCAAATACGGCAGCATTAAGGACCCAAATGAGCTTCGCGAAATCACCGGTCTCAATCAGAACACGGCCGTATTGCTAGTTCTCAAGGACACTTTTGCAGAAACGCGCTGGGAGCTTCTTCACGAGGGCTCTAAATTATTGAGCAACTGTATCACTCTCAACTCGGGAACTGGTTTATAACGAACATTCCAGGATGAGTATTCCTTTTTGTTATTTTGATGGCTTGGCAGAATCAGTGGTTCTTGACGGAAGCGCTCTTACTTTTTATATTTTTGGCTTCTTATATATGGAGGGACGGGGTGAGGTGTTCTGGAAACGTGAAATGAGGCGGCTATGTTGATGTTGTTGACATGATTTATGAATGAGGAAGAAACCTGGAGTTTTTGGAAGTCGAAATGAGTGGTGTGTGGGAAGGCGGCCCTGGTGAGGAGATGGCTTACTCGAACACAACAATCTTGGTTGCCTATTGTTGGGATATAGAAACCGTTCTTGGTGGTCATTACTAAGGAGAAACTCGGAGGCATGATTTCAAGACGAGGAAGGTGTCAGCATGCATTAACGATCTTGGGGGTGGCATTTTTACTTCTTTGCATTCAGCGAGCGACCAGACGACAGGGCCGATATGATGGTTAAGAACTCAAAGCCATTGATTATCTTCCCTACTCATGATATACTATATTGCTAGCCAGGCGTGGACCCCGCCAAGGGTGTTTATATACAACTTTGTGATATTTAAGACTCTTCCTCTACCCAACTGGAAAATTATTCCTGATAGGCTGAACTGATGGAGTGTGTGTGAATCAATAGCCTCAGAATAACAAAACCATGACTAGACGATGCGAAGAAAGCTTGTTCTTCCCAAACAGCGAGCCTCTGTAAAATGGCGTTTCTTCTGGCCTTTATTAGTAAGACTGAATCTCTTCTTACATTCTTCATTTGGGCAGAGGAACGGGTCGTTGAAGCAGAGATTATGCCTTGTAGCACAATCGACAACGAAGAGCCCGACACGCTCAAATTTCATCTCGAAGTTCATTTGCAAACCAAAGTCCGGCTTGGGTCCAGCAGCCCTGCCCGGACCGAACAGGTCCAATCCGGCTTCGACAAGGATAAGGCAATAGTACGCCTGCAAGTTGGCGGAATATCCAGCCTTAAGAATAGGCAGGATGTAGACATGTTGAAGTTGAGAGAAGACAAATCGGTTCACTGGACGATGCGAATCTCGAATCACCTTGCAACCCGGACGCACCAACGTTCCGGGGGTAATTTTCGTGAGAGGACCTGTTATGGATACAGTGCCGGTGTAAGTCGAGAACGAACCAGGCGCCAATTTGGCATCTATCCCTTCCAGCTTCGCGCAGAGGGTCACGCTTTCGATGTTGTGGGCAGCATATCTCTGGTACGGATGCCAGAGCCGGTACCCAATTGGAGACTCCACGGACGCCCAGGACCATGAGGGGGCGCGGAGCTCAAAGGGGTCGTTATTCGATCTCGACAGGTACGGGCTGTCCGGGTCTGTATCACAGAACCATACTAGTGACCGGAGCACATCGCCTTGCCACATCCCCAAGAAACACGGTTCCTTGATCACGGTCTGGAAACGCTGGACCACGCCCTCTAAGGCGACAAGCCGATCTCTGTCGTAGGTGAAGTTTCGGTGACTGTACTTTTCAATGATTCGCCTCCATAGAAAGTACATGTCGCTGTCCAGAGCGACTTCCCGGCTGGCGTTTCCCGTGAGCAGCGGCGTCTTGAGTCGTCTCTCCTCCAAGTCTCGGAACTTGGGGCTAAAGTCGCCTCGCAACCCAAGGGGCCGGCAATCGGCAGCGTTGAGACTGCAGCAGTCCCAGAAGAAGCCATCTTTAGTCACCGAGAGGATCCTCCTCGATAGCAGCCTTTCCTGAAACGCCCATCCTCGCCTGTCGATTTCGCCTTCCGGCCTCGTGGGGAAGTTGCCGTTTGCCTCCAGCCAGTGGTAGAGAGCCTCTGGGCTTCTCCTGTCATACTCTGTCAATTTCCCCTGTAGGAACGGTCTCGAGGCAGCCCGGACCGCTTCCTCCAGGCGGCAGCTTCCATGGTAGGACCGGCACCCAGGTTCCAGATCCGGCTTATCGGGGCCATCCCCGTAGGCAAGTGTGAAGATGGAGTTCCCGTAGACAGAGGCTACTTTGGAGGCTTCAGCGCACCAGTCTTGGTCAGTGCCTTGCAGGATGCACTACAAATGTCAACTTGGACCATGGTGCTATTTCGATAAAAAAAGAGACGTCTTACCAGTGCGTCAATCCACACATATTTGATACCGAGCATGGCCGCCACCTTAAAAGTGTCCGCGTACAAAGGATGAAGGCGTGAAACCGGGTAGCCACTGTAAAACGCATCTCGCGTGTCCTCATTTAATTGCTGATTTGGGGATAGGCACATCGGCCACCTGTAGCTCACGGCGATGTATTGGAAGTTGGCGTGGTCCTCCGTGTCTATGATCTTGATCTCCTCAACGCTGGTTGTCGAAAGCTCGCCCAGGTAGATGAGGCGGCGGGGGAGCTCGGGGACCCAGCCCTCTGGCTCGCTTTGGCATATGCTGTGATGATTCCAGCATTCACCGAGCCAGTATTTTATGATGAGAATGCAGGCTTCCAATTCGTGTCCTGCTTCGTAGAGGGATCTGTAAATACCGTACAGCTTGGCAAAGTCGGCTTTGCGATTTCCATGCATGAGTCAGTGATCATCTCGGATTGGTGAGAGAGTCCAACTTGGAATATGAGCTGCTACCTTCCCGGCCCTCTTCGATCAAAAGCTCTAGTAAATTGTCTTTTCGAAGTCCTTCCACGAGCTCCTGGCACGCCGACCCGGAAGTATCGAGGACCTGTACGGGGTATGGCGGCTTATATGGGCGGCCTGAGCCAGATATGTCTACTCTTTGGCTGGAGGGTTTTCTTGCAGACGGCTCATCATCCTACGGCAACCTCTTGAGTATTGATTCAATGGACCGAGTCATGCGATGTGTAGGGCGAGGGCAGGGCACACTTACCGGTACGACGGGCGTGAAGGCCCAAGCCCACCAGCCTCGGGCGGTGTCTAGAAGATTTGACACCATCGGCGGAACGTGCTTGATAGTTTTTCTTTTGAATGTCTCATTTGGAGAAGAAGAAAAATTGAAAAGAAGACCCTCTTTTTATTAGGTAGCCGTAAAGATTGATGTCGATGGTGAGGCAGACTCGCGTGCCTACATGTACCTACACCGCATAAGCCAACCCCGCAAACCACATATGTGTGAACAGTGCAAGCTACTTGAGAGGAGCTTTGAGAAGGGTCTGGGGTTTACTCATGCTATGGAGCTACCAGATCGGATTGACTGCTAAAATCGTGAGAATATAATCAAAAACTGGCGAGCTTGAGTACACAGACGGCACCTGAGATAGACTATTGATAATACCTATCTACTACCTACGGTAATTAAGGTACATGTATCTATGGATGGCAGTTCGAGATCGATTGCCTATTCCAGGTGGGGAATAAGCTGCATAAAGCTGCCGTAAGCTCCGGGCGCTGGCCCAATCACCACCATGCATAAGACATCTTTAAGTCCGAGAGCTGAGCTGCCCCGCGTCTTGGACATGATTCACTCATTCATTCAGCTTGAGATCCCATCAATCACGTAATTGCCTACCTTATCTACTAGGGTAGCTCGACGTCCAGCTCTCCTCCATCTTCGTCCATCTCCTCCATCTTCATCCCTCTCCTCCATCTCCGTCCCTCGAGAATCCTCTTCTCTGTCGTGTGCGACCCGTGCTTCCTGAATTCTGGTCCCATGTTCTCTAGGCACAGGTTTCGTATTGAAGAGGCGGCCGGTTTGATCCGGCTGCCGCCTGAGATCCTACATCACATTCTCATCTGGCTTGATCCCACTGATTTGTTTCCGGTGTCCATGGTGTGTTCATACCTCTACAAGGTCATCAAAGGAAACCAGAGACTCTGTCAAGATATCTATCTCTTGCACTTGGTACGCCAGGCTGTCTCCTAAGCTCGCGGCTAGTTCCTAGTGCTTCCGGTATTGACTGCCATAGGATGCACCACCAGACGAATTTTCTATCTGGGACTGGAGGTCCGAACTTGACGATATGGTGAGACTGGAAGAAGTGTTCGACAAGCGGTATAATGCTGAGCGTGAGGTAATCAACGTAGAGAGCTTTCTCATTCCTTGACCCGGGAGCCCGATTGGACTTGATCTGACTTGTCACAGGTTCGCCGGCTTCCTTTTGTTTGTAAAACTGTCAGTAGGCTACTCAAGCACGCCTCATTCAATAACGGGAGTCGCGACGAGGGAACAGAGTCTCGACGCCCCGTATCGCGAAACGTGGAGTATCTCAGTGGCCTATTTGACAATGAGGTTGCCGCTCGTGTCTTCACACAGCAGTCCCCGCTGTTTGACCGCATAAACGCCAGGTTCCAAGGCTCTATCCCATTCCCCCAGCCGCTAGAGGAGCACCAGCAGAGTGCGAAGCTTCACTGCCTGTTTGGCCGGCCCGCTCAGCGAGGTGGGAGAACGAGGTCGACGACCACCTATCCCTGGGCCTGCTCCAAGGTGTACGACATACGCGAATACGGACAAGCCAATGGATGGGGCCCGTTCAGGGGGGACGGGACCGGCCGCGTGGATTGGGAGAAGATAGAGGCCATCAACATTGTGATGTGGAAGAATATTTGCACAATGCGCCCAAGGAACGACATCTTCGACCAGATATGGGACACTCCATTTTGGGGAGCATTTGCGCACAGCTATGTGCCGACAAATCTTTCCACGCTCTCTGATCTAGATGCCCAAGATCCATACGGAGTGACTGGGACTTATTATCGGGTAAGTAGGCACGCAAGACATGTTGGAGAATCATTGTCGCGCCCGCAGCTCTTTTCCTTTTGTTTTGCTGCTCATGATACTAATTCATTCTCCTACCTGTCCATAGGTCGTATGTTTCCTCGACCACAGTGACTTTATTCGTTTCAACTTCTCGAACATGGGCATCGTCACGAACAACATCCCCCGCCCGCCATTGGACAGGGGCGAGGCGACACGGCTCATCATCATGGAGCTCGAGGTAACTCGTATCGAACCTCCCGGTCCAGAAGATGGCCAAGATCTTCCAGTAGTGCACTTTACAGGCGTCTCGCGATCACTCGATGCCGACTTTGTGGAGGACGTCCACTCCGCTCTTACTGGTGAGTACATACTCTTCCCCACGCGAGCGAAATAACATATTTGATGAGGAAGCTGAACTAAATCCGATTTTCAATTCCTCTCCGAAGGCACCGTGCGCTTGACCAGGGAAGGCGAGGTCAGGTGGTCCTCCGTCTCCGCATTCGACGGCCAAGAACGATGGAGGAGCGAGGGTGTTCAGATCGGAGGCATTCAGTCCGCGAGGGGAGTTGTCGGGACTTGGTTCGATAGGTACGGTCACCAGAAGCTTTTATTTCCAGCTCGTTCGATGCTCACCCAGTTTCTTTTTTCTGACACTCACACAACGTACAGTGACTACGATATACACGGGCCAGTAGGGCCAACGGCATTCTGGAAGGCTGCTGATTGCGAGAACCCCAGGGAGGCGCTGCTGAAAGGCGCGGACAACATTATCCGGGATCCCGAGTGGCTAGAGGGCGTGGTCATCACGTATGAGAGTGAGGACGCCGAATCCGACGATGACGATGACAACGACGAAGACTGGGATGCCGACCTGGACCCGGTCGAGGACGAGCTCCCGGGACTGCTGGAGGATGCCGAGATGGACTTGGACGAAGTCACGACGAGAGACTTGAGACACAATTGATGTTTGGATTTCATAATTGTGGTCTTTATATACTTGTTCGCAATGATTGGGGGGGGAGGCGGTTTGTTTTGGGATGTACCTCTTCCTCTCTATTCCTTGGACAGTTCTTGGGAAATAAAAAAAAAACACCATTCTTAACCGAAAACAAGGCAGGTGGAGAAATTTATATCTAAATCTTGGATCCGAAATCCACATTCACCTTTCCGTGCTCACAAATAGCCAGAAGAGCGCCATCGCTCCTCCTCCTCATGGTGCCTCGAAGAGTAGTCATCTTCTTACCGATCTGGACGATCTCGTTGTGGACCAGAACCTCGGTCCCGGAAGGCACAGGCCGCAGGTAGGTGACGTTGAGGGTCCTCGAGACGCCCAGGTAGTTCCAGAAGTCCGGGCGGCTGACGAGCACGATGGCCATGGAGGTGCTGAAGTCGAACAGGGTCGAGGCGCAGCCGCCGTGGAGGTTCTTCAGCTGGTTGCAGTGCCCCGGCTGGACGGTGTACGAGAAGGTGATGGAGGGGTGTGGGAGTTCCAGCGTGAGGTCAACGAGGGAGATGTGCGGGAGCAGAGACGAGGTCCAGTCCTGTTTACACATGATGTTAGCTGTTCAGTATATGATTATGTGAAATACGATAAGTCGTTTTGTACAGCATGAGGCGGGGGGATAACATGTGAATCGTAATGAAAGGCATGTAAGACGTACCTTTCCTTTGGCATCACGAACTACGTTGTTTTCAAGCCAGTCCTGGATCTTCTTTTCTATGAGTTCCTTTGGAAGGTCTGATGCCAGCTTGGGCTTCGCAGCCTCTGAAGGAGAGTCTTCCTTGGCCATATTGAACGCCCAAGCGACTGGTGAGGACTTGCTCTTCAGAGAAGAAGAATCCAACTGCAAATAAACAGCAATGGTCCAGTGTTAAAGGCGGTCTCAGCTACCGATGGAATCCAGAGGAGCCAGGGTATTGGCAATCCTCGAAGAAAATACAATAAAAGAGGCCAGCTGCCCTTGTCGTACGGGGGATCTGGTTTAAGGCTGGGCTTCAGGTTCCAGTCGTATAGCTGCCCGTATTAATTAGGCAATGCAGAATGGAGGATACAGTGCATTATCCATCGTTTCGTCTCCTACCGCCAGGTGCCGAGGCATTCACCAGGTGGAGTCAAGGGGAAGAAGTACGTGCCAGGTACTTACCAGCAAGCTGGATTAAGCCCCACATCCTCCTGCAAGGCTCATCACTCTGGATGTATCCCCCGAGTACATTGTCAACATTCCTCCCTGCTGACCAATTTCAGGCAGGGGTGAGCCAGATAAGCTCTAGAGGCCTATAGGAAATAGCCGTGGTGATTGTATTCGACACACCTATTCACAGATATCAAGGGTTTATCGACTCAGTTCAAAATATTCTAAGCCAGATAATCGAAGCGCCTCCTATGTACCCATCCACACACAGCATGATGGAGTAATGAGTTGTCAATCAAGCTGTCAGAAGCCGAACCCCGTATTCCCCTACCACAGCAGCATCCAACACAGGTACAACGGGCATAATGACATATACATGCCCCAATGTGAATCTAAAATGTCAGATAGAACAAGGTGAAGATAGAATACCCCATGATTGAGATTCATCACAGTTCAAATCACTTCACGTTGCTTGACTTTACTTCTGAGCAATGACATCTGAGCCGGACCAGGGCGAAGCTGAAGGTGCACGAGCCACAGAGCCGATATTTTGTCCCGAGGTACGGAGATACTAACCCAGACATCCACACGGCGACTCTACCCCAGCTTTGCCGTCTCCTGCAGCCATCACTTCGCATCCGCCCATCAATCAACCTCAAAATTGCTGCTGAGGGGCTGCCTGTGTCAGTACGGTCACTCAGTCGCCTCGATGCTCGCTTCATAGCACAACCAGCTATCCACCTACAAGTGCTAGAGTCAACGCGATTTTGCGCCCGTGATTTCGACCTAGCAGACAGGCCAAACCGTCGCGATGGAATTCGTGACAGCCCTCCGGGCCCCCTTCGATGACCAGAAGCCCTCGCTGTTCGAGATTCTGTCCGAGCAGCAACTCAACAGCCTTCTCCCCCCGACCCTTCGATATCTCCTAACCGTCGCGACCCAGCGCTACCCCCGTTATCTCCTGCGCATCCTCAACTCCTACGATGAGCTCTACGCCCTCGTCATGCTCCTCGTCGAGCGACACTACCTACGCACGCGCGGCGGCTCGTTCACAGAGAACTTCTACGGCTTGAAACGCGACAAGGCCCTCCGCGGCGAGATTCCCCGGGCCGCAGCCACCGCACCTCACCTCGTTCGCGACACCCTCCGCCTGACCACCAAGGACGTATGGAAGAACCTGCTGGTCCTTGTCGGCGTTCCCTATCTCAAGAGGAAGCTAGATGAGTCCTACGATATCAATGCGCCCAGAGCGCTGCTGGGAGCCGCCTACACGCGCATGCCGGACAACCCCACGCTCAAGGATCGGTTCCTCTTCTACTACAGATGGTTCCTCCGCAACATATACCCCTCCGTCAATGCCGGTTATTACTTCGCGATGCTCGCCTTCAACCTGGCCTATCTATTCGACGCCACCAAATATCACAGCCCGCTCATGTGGCTCATCGGCACTCGCATTCGAAGGATGACCGCCGCAGACTATGAAGCCATTGAGGCGCTCTCGGCCCCCCCTCCTGCCAGCAAGAAGCCAAGCGCCCCCGCGTGGAGATCGCTGTTCTCGCCTATGGAAATGGGGCCCAAGCTCATGTCTAGCCTGTCGGTCATGCTTCCAATGAGTATATTTGCCCTCAAATTTCTCGAGTGGTGGTACCAGTCCGACTTCGGGAAGCAGCTGTCGCGCAAGGCGGCTGAGAATATCCAGCTGCCGCCTCCCGTCCTCTCCAGCCTGATTGGTAAGGGAGGTAGCGCTTTAAAGAAGAAGAAGAACGACGCAAAGGCTGCTCCCCCGGCTGAGGCTGGTGGAGAGGAGAAGCGTCAGGAGCCGTCTCCCGAAACCGCACCTATCGCTACCCCCTCGTTGCTCCCAATCTATACCGTCTCCCCGCCAGAGGACTCCTCGCTGTGTCCCATCTGTCAGGGCGACATCGTGACTCCAACAGCGTGCCAGACAGGCGTTGTGTACTGTTACACGTGTATTCATAGATGGATCGAAGGGATCCATCCCATCCAGGAAGAGTTTATGGAAGACAAGGCTGGAAAATGGGAGAGTGGCCAGGGAAGATGTGCTGTTTCCGGCCGGCGGGTACTAGGGGGGACGGAAGGGTTAAGAAGAATCATGGTCTAGAACTGACTGTGTACAACTAGTAAAGGAGAAACTGCATAAATGGATATTGCATACGAGGCGCAGCGTTGATTATGGGAATCCCTCTGGTTCGAGGGTAGGCGGGGGCGTCAGGGGTAACTAATACAAGACTCATTTCTACAACTAAACCTACAACTCTACCGTTCACTGGTATGCCGCACTTGTGATGGGAGAAACCCTTTGCACATCTCCCGGAGGGCTGGGCATTCGACTGGCATGTCGAAGCTCTTCGTTGGAATGGATTGTTAAGCAAGTTGTCTCAGATAGAAGGCCATTGGGGCTTGAGTGGTCCAAGATCTGCGACAGGTGTGGCTAATGTCTCAGTTCTTACCCCAAGATATTCAGGGATCATGGCCTATGAGTGGCTTGAGGAATCAAATACCTACCTATAGATCAGTGAAGCTTCCGGATTAGGGTGAAATGTCGCAGACTCGCGTGGCCGGGGGAACAAACGGGAGACTTCAGGACACTGCCAACTGAACACGCTTACCCCGGCCTTGCCCTTCCACACCCATCGGTATGCTATTCATGGTTCGACCTCTTCAATTGCTTCTCGTTCTCTGCTGCAGCTATGTGTGGGATCAATAATGGCCACCCTTCCAGCCTCAACCTCATTCCTGAGGCTCCCGACCTCTCGGGATCCTCCAGAGACCTGGGGAAAGGCAGGGCGTTGATCAATGATAAATAGGACAGGATGGTCGATGGCAATGACAACTTTTCTCTCGTCTCCCAAGCAACAACTCCAGACACTTCCAACAGTCTACTCCACATCTATCTCATCACAGACATGGCGTACTCACTCTCCACCTCATTCTTCGGCGAGTCCCTCTTGTCCGGGTTCAACTGGTTCAACGGAGCCGATCTCTCCAACGGCTATGTCTCGTACGTTATCTCATCTTGAGCAGCTTTGGATGTGTTTGCCTATCGGGAAGTTGAGCTAACTTCTTCTCCTTCAGATATCAGAGCCGCCACGATGCAGAGGCGCGAGGGCTTGTCTCAATGGACCCAAGGACCCAGGCTGTCCGCCTGGGTGTTGACAGCACCAACTACTACGGCATGGGAGAGGGTCGCCCCAGCATTCGCATTGAGAGCAAGGAGGCGTTCAACCACGGCCTCTTCATCGCCGACTTTGCACACATGCCCCCCTCAGATTGTGGCCTCTGGCCAGCTTGTAAGTACCCAGCATTGTCTTTGCACCTCTCAGATGTCCAAAACTAATCGGCTTTTTCTTCATACAGTCTGGGCTTATGGCACCAACTGGCCCAATGGTGGAGAGATCGACATCATTGAAGGTGTAAACACAGCACACAAGAACTTGATATCCGCCCACACAGCCCAGGGCTGCTCCCAGGATCCATGGGAAGTCAGTCAGTCGACTGGCCTGCAGCGCAACTCCGACTGTTTCGTTGGTGATCAGAACATTGGCTGTGGATTTGAGCCCCCTTCCTCCGATGTTTCTTCATACGGAGACTCATTCAACGCCGTCAATGGTGGTGTGTATGCTATGGATTGGGACTCGGAGCGTATTCGTGTCTGGCACTTTCCTCGCGGTCGAATTCCTTCCGATATCAAGGCCAAGAAGCCCAACCCTGCCAACTGGGGCTTGCCCCAGGCCGCCTTTGGTGGCAGAAGCTGTGATGTCGACAGGTACTTCAAGGATATGAGCATTGTTCTGAACATTGTGAGTCATCACTTCGGCCAAAGCTCAAGATTAATCGATTATACTGACTGACCAAAACAGAACTTTTGCGGTGACTACGGAAACGCTCTTTGGAACGACCAGTGCAGCGGCTATGCATCAACCTGCTCTGAATACGTCGGCAGCAACCCTGAAGCCTTCACCAACGCCTACTGGGAAGTGAACTACATCGATGTGTACGAGAAGGGCTATATCTCCCCGACTCCAACAACCACGAAAAAGGCCCCAACACCCACTACCAAGGCTGGAGGTTATACATACCTTCCCTTCCCCGACCCGGGAATCGGCACCGAGCCCACCGCCATTCCCAACCCCTTCAGCATCAACCGATACGCTTACCTCGGCTGCTTCGAGTCCACCTCCAGCTTCGGAACCTTCGAGGTCGAGTCCGAGAAGGAGGACATGACCCTGGAGACCTGCGTCGGGCTCTGCAACGCCAAGGATGCTGCATACGCCGGTGTCAATGGCCGAGTCTGCTCCTGCGCCCGCGAGCTTGATCAGGATACCCGCGCCACTGCTCTCGAGCGACACTGCGCCAGGCCGTGCCCCGGAAACGCAGGCCAGTTCTGTGGTGGCTCCAGCTCCAAGTCCATCCCCAGCCCCAGCCCCGAGCCCAGCCCCAGCTCCAAGCCCGGCGTCAACTCCAAGAAAGCCCCCGGTGACGGTGACAAGGCCGACTGCCTCCTTACCGTCTATGGTGCCGTCCTCGACACTCAGCCTGCTGTGCCGCCTCCCATGGCACCCATGCCCAAGAGTCTGATGAAGGGTGCCTACGTCATCCATACTCCGGCGACTGGCACAACGACCAAGGCTCCCGCGGTTCCTCGCCCAGCCAAGACTCCAAACTGGGCCATGACCCCCTCCTCGTTCACTACGCCAACTCCCTCGCCGACTCCATCTCCATCGCCGGCTACTCCCCAACCCAAGAAGGCGCCCACCACCCTTCACCTATCTCGAGTCTCAGAGACTGCAACTCCTGCCGCATCAAGCAGCAGCAAAGCTAGTGACATCCCCGTCTCTGCTGCTGCCCCGAAGGCCCCCTCCAGGATGAGCGTTGTGATCGGCGTCGCCGTCATGATCATCGCCATGCTCTAAGGATCAGGAGAAATTTGAACTCGAGACGGGATACGTCTCTTAACGATGGATGAATATAATTTGCGGAATCATGTTGCGTGGTATACCCAAGAAAACAGGACAGGCGTTTTTTTTCTCTTTTCTAATTTCTCTGTTTTTTTTCTTCTCCTTTTGATTGTCACTTGTTTTTGGTTTGTTCGGTTTTCCTATCTCGATTTTTTTTCCTATCTCCTTTTATCACGAGACTTAATTATAGAATGTAGAACTCCAATAATTTAGCAGCTTGCAATCAATTGATATAGAATTTTACGAATGCATCCTAATTCTATTGTGACGTTTCCTAACATAGGAAGTAATATCCTACTTTGAGCTGCGGAATCAACCAAGACCTACCCCCTTTTTTTTATCTCTAATCAAAACACCAATTTAATTTTCCTTTGTGATATTTACAAGTCTACAATAACCGCTCGGCTCGTGGTCTTACCAGTATTTCCGATCATCTGGGCCGCGTTGACCATCAGCCCGGCCTCCTGGGGTCTCGGTGCCCGCACGAGAAACTCCCAAATAAGCTTGTTGATGCCGACGAGAAGGAAGTGACCATAGAGATACCAGTTCTCGTTGGGGAAGAAGTCGAGGATCGGACCCCTGCGGGGCAGCGAGAGGATGCGCTCGTAGGCGATCTGGAAGTCATCGTAGTGGACGGGCTCGCTGCCCGCACCCCAGTGGATGTGGCCGAAGACGTGGAGGCGGGGCTTGATGCGCCAGACCTCGCGGAGGAGGTGGGGGCAACCAAGGTCGAGATCGCGATGGTGCGCCTGTTCGGGATGCGGGATTCTTGTTTAGCAGAATGCTCTCTTGCTCGCGTTGGGGAAGGAAGGGCTTACAGGTGGGCAATGGGTGATCAGGATGTCGGTATTGGGGGGGACTTGGCTCATCCATTTCGGCTCGTCTGGGGGGTATTGGAATCTACAAAGCGAAAGGGGGGCTAGTTAGTTAGGTTTTCTTTCCGTCAAGTGCCATTACCACTCACGCAAAGCTCGATGGGCCGATTTTCGGGATATCGGGAGCTCCAAAGATATTCAGCTTCCGGCCCTTTATCTCCACGACGGTCCCGCTGTTTTCGAGATATGTGATGCCGTCGAGGTCGAGCTTGGAAGCTTGGTCGATGTCCTCCTGCTTCCTGCTCCGCGGGTCGAAATAGGAGTCATGGTTGCCGGCGATGACGATCTTTACAGGGTGAGGCTGCTTCTTGAGCCAGTCGAGCTGGAGCTGTATGTCGTGGGCGGTGCCGGCATCGGTCAGGTCGCCGGCGTGGATGAGGATGTCGCCCGGGGGGATTGACACGGTCTGGTCGTGGGTGTCGGAGATGGAAACGACCCGGATGGGCTCTCTGTTTCGGGGGGGACTGAAGGGCCGGCCGAGGAGGAAGATGACGAGGTAGTAGAGCTTGATGGCGATGAAGGTGAGTGGGGAGCTCAGAAGATGGTCAAGCAGCGTCGGCGGGTCCCATAGGTTGCTGCGCCTGAGGCCAAGGGTGGTGAACAGGCCCATTGTAGGTTGCAATTCGGATATGATATGAGGCTGTCGGTAGTATTAGGTGTACCAGCACACCCACCGGCATAGTGTGGCGTTCGGTGAGATTAAATGAACCAATGTAGAAGTCCGGCTTGATGCTTACCGGCAAGCACAGCTCTCATGCTCGCAGGAGAGCTGCTGGTTGGTCCCCCACATCTCGCTACAGCAATGACGTGTAGCATCGCCGTTTGAGCTTAGTGCCTGTGGTAACTTGTAACGATAGCAATGGGCTGTCGGGGTGACATTGAATTTGGTACACTCGAATATTCATTCCCCTGCCAATTCATGAGTCTGTAACTGGTATTTTCATATTACCGAGAGTCAATAGTGATATTAGAGAAGTAGCGAAATAAATAATCATCAATTTATATCGATTTTACTTCTTACACCGCGATATTATTTACCTAGTTATTGTAGAAAAAGCCCCGCTCTTCAATTTAATGTCTCATTTATTCTGTCAACCAATTCACCAGCAGCACCTAAGCTGAGTTTATGCTTTGCAGCAGCTGCTAGATCCCCTCCTGAATGGCAGTGACGTCGTGCCAGCTGCCAGCCATTTTACCTGAGCTGATTCCCTGATCTCCGTCGATCTCCGCTACGGACCCTGTAACACATCATCACACATCCTTATTCTCGTAATGAAATCAAGACTTCAGGCAAATGGGCCAGGAGAATATAAGTAGCTTCTAGACCCTACACTTACTTGAATCACATATTTTTTTTTCATTTTCCCACTCGTCTTCAGCAATACTCCCGTGGAGCTCTCGTCTCCGTCTCCACGTGACGCTCTCACCAAGTACATCAGAGGTGGAATTGGGCCGATTCCTTTGCTAGCTTCACGAAACCAGAAGCTGTGGCAGTCAAGTTGCATCCCACCGCACGCACGCGACGTCAAGAATTGCCAGTTCCTCACCACTCCGTTTCCCGCGTTCGAATTGGGTTTACTGGACCCTAAATCTTTCATGGTTGATCTGGCGATATTGTGAGATCTACATCATGACGAGCCTTGAGAAACTGGCCGGTAGCACTGGTGATGGTGACAATCGTAACTTTGGGTACGTAATTGAGCAAAGCACATCCCTTTGAGACATCCTTGATCGACCACATTTTAGCAGCCAAACTGATTTGTGTCCTCGCTGACGGTCTTATAGTGTCGATTTTGTCATCCACCAGCTGGTCCCGGCCCAAGGTTTGTGTTTTCTCCCATGAGCTACCCCAACATCAAAACTGGTGCAGCGTCTAATTCTATACAGAACGCACTGAGGCCGAGGCCTCCTTTATCCAGCTCATCGAGACTCTCACAAAGGTCGGCTTAGCTACCGAGGTCCGCGCAGGGAGCGATAACTCCCTCTTAATCTTCACCAAGATCGCGTCATGGGACTTTCTTGCTCAGCAGGTTTACCGCTCCCGCCTTCAAGACTGGCTGAATGGTCTGCGCTCCTCTGCACCAGAGAGGGAGATTCGACGTGCGCTCGAAGATGAGCCCGTCACCGAGGCCGAGCGCTGTCGTATTGTCTACCTTCTCATCACCAAGCCCCAGAATGACGGCGGTGCGGGCATCACGCCTGGGAATGGCCAATGGCGGTACATTCAGTCCATACTTCCTCTGCACGACCACAGCTTCAACGCGGCCTGGATCAAGAAATGGGGCCAGAAATACCTCTTGGACCAGGGCGATCTGGATGAGATTCGTGACAAATTCGGCGAGGGCGTCGCCTTTTACTTCGCCTTTGTCCAGTCCTACTTTCGATTTCTCCTCTTCCCCAGTGCCTTTGGTCTCTTCGCATGGCTCTTCCTTGGAAAGTTCTCCTACTTTTACGCCCTCGTCAACTGCCTCTGGTCAGTCGTGTTTTTTGAGTTCTGGAAGCAGAAGGAGGTTGATATGGCCGTCCAATGGGGTGTCCGGGGTGCCTCCCAGGTTCAACTTCCTCGCCCCGAGTTCAAGTGGGAGTATGAGGCCGAAGACCCTGTGACTGGCGAGCCGATCAAGGTATACAGTCCGATGAAGCGAATTAAAACGCAATTGCTTCAAATCCCCTTTGCTCTGGCCTGTATCGTGGTCCTCGGTGGCGTTGTTGTTACATGCAATTCATTGGAGGTCTATATCAATGAGATGTACGATGGTGGTGGCAAAGCGGTTCTCGTAAGTATTGTCCAAAACATCCCCATGGGAGCTGCTCCCTTGGGAAATCAGTTCGAAACTGAACTCGATTTCATGACTGACCTCTGTGCAGGGCCTCATTCCAACTATTCTTCTTAGCTCTCTAATCCCGGCTTTCTCTGCTGTGTTGATGAAGGGAGCCGAAGTTCTAACTCAGTGGGAGAACTACCAAAATGTAGATGGTGAGTGTAATTCCTACGCTAAGCAGACAATGGCAAAATCTAACTTGTACCGAAATCCGAAGCCTACAATGCCGCTCTCATCCAGAAACAATTCGTCCTCAACTTCATGACTTCCTACATGGCCCTTCTATTTACCTTATTCGTCTACATTCCGTTTGGGGAGATCTTGATCCCATTCTTGAATTTCTGGCACAGCACGGCACAGGTAGTGAGCTTCAACGAGAACCCTCTCCCGGCCAAGGAGTTCAAGATCAACCCAGCCAGGATCAGTGGACAAATGTTCTACTTGACTATTACCGCCCAGATTGTGAGTCTTCTTACACAAGTCGTGGTTCCTTATGTGAAGCGCCAAGTCTTCGCCGAAGCGAAGAAACTCAGTTCCAAGGATACCACGCCCGCAGTCCAAGACCGTCCTGAGGAGGCCGAATTCCTAAAGAGGGTCCGTGAGGAGTGCGAACTGGAGGTTTACGATGTCAGCACTGACTATCGTCAAATGGTGATCCAATTTGGTAAGTCCAGCTACTCTCCCTTCAAACCGACGATATGATCCGGTGTTTTTTGTTAACAAGTGGTAGGCCATCTTTCCATGTTCTCTTCCGCATGGCCTCTTGCGGCATGCTGCTTCCTCGTGAACAACTGGGTTGAACTACGATCAGACGCCGTCAAGATCGCTATTGGAAGCCAGCGCCCCATCCCATTCCGGGCCGACACAATAGGCCCCTGGTTAACTGCGCTCGGGTTTCTCTCGTGGCTTGGCAGCGTGTCTAGCGCAGCCATTGTCTTCCTCTGTGGAGGTTCGACAGATGCTGAGCGTGGCACAATGTCGCACATTAGCGCCTGGGGCGTTCTCAGCAGTGTCATGCTGGCTGAACATTTCTACTTTTTGGTCCAGATGGCAGTGCGATATTTCATGAGCAAATTTGAGAACTATGGGCAGCAGAAAGAGCGGAAGGAGCGATTCCTGATCAAGAAGAGATACCTTGAGGAGACCCTCGGTCAGGGAGTTGCTGAGCAAGCTGCAACCCCAGGGCTCACCCACGGGGAGAAGATCACTCGGGAAGCGTTGGAGGAGCAGGAGCGCCAGGCTTCAATCAAAGGTCATGCTTCTCCTGAAGATCTGTAAGTGAACCATCTATGAGTCGTGCGCAGTGCAAGCCTAACAGTCCAACCACAGGTTCTGGCAGCGACAGCGAGGAGTCCAGGAAACCATCACAGTCGGGCGAAGCATGATTGAGGTGAGCCAGCCGCAATGAAACTAGCCTCCGAGAAACGGGCTCCCTCTTCATGAGCTATTGCTAACGACAAGAATTTCCAGAAAACTGTCATCGAGAAAGGAGCGGGTAAATCTGCTCAACCCAGCCCTAGAGCGTAGATAGTACGGGGCACGGTCAGCCGTTATTGAAACCGGTCCCTGGCTCCGGTCCGACCCCTTTTACTATCTCATCCCGCTTCTTTCCAGACCTCTCTCTATTTCACCTTTGCATTGGATCCCCAATGTCTCGCAGTGAGACGATCTTTTTACCTAACGTTTTTTTTCTTCATCTTTATTTGTTCTTCCATCAGCGTTCTCGTGACTGGACTGTGGGTGGATATTTCCTGGAGGCACAGGAAACAAAAGGAGGCTTTTGGAGGTGTTGGATCCCCATTGGTGCACTCAGCGAGCACGTGGGTTATGACGTTGGAGATATAAGTCTTGGCAAGGGTCGTGCTTGAGTGGTCGGAGCTCATATCATTGATGGCGCCGCGTGGGCCTCGGTGGACGGACGCGAGCTAGAACATTTTAGCCAACGGTTAATGGCTACCCGTCAAAAGTCTAGCAGGAGATCAGATGGCTCTGGGCCATTCGCCGACTGCTGATCCGATCGGCTAGGTGCGGGTTGCAGATAGGGGCTTCATCAACAAGAGCAATCCACGTGAAACTTTCGTCCACACCGCGCGGCAAGAGTCCAGCCACCTTTCTACATGCGAGATAGTGAATGCGAGTATGGCTCCGTGCTCGTGTGTCGTGCCAGCATCAGGATACTGCGGTCCATATATGGCCACGGTCGGGCGCAATACCCACCTATGTTGGAGCAGATACTTGCCGAATGTGTACATCTCGCTCAGCCTGCAGGCCAAAGCCGGCACGACAGCGTGAGACTCTGAGAGTTTGCGTGTACATGTGCGCCAGGTAGGTCCTGCGGCTAGATTGGAAATTACCAAGTCAGTCGCCCGAACTGCCTTGTCCCCAAGTAGTGGCAGCGTCCCACAGGAGAAGCCAATGGCGCATGCTCTTGGACTCAACGTGGTAAAGTGCCCAGACAAGCCCCTCCACGGGCTTCTCCAAGGCGTCCCAGGCGGCAGCTTCTGTTGGCTGTCTCCTGGGCTGAGGCTGCTCTCCCCGTTGCATCCACACAGCCCGGCTAGGCCAACCAACCCCTGCGCCCATCCACCGACCCCTTGGGGTCTTGGCTTGGATAGGCAGCTTGCTGATGGGAGCCCGGTGATCTGTTGCAACAGCTCGTCTCAACGCTACGGTGCCGAGCCAGGAAAATGTGCCCCAGCCTAGCCGCAGCCCGATTTGTGTGCGATTGAGGTGCTCGGCCCACCCACCCAGCAGCCAGCCGCCTTGTATGCAATGCTGTTGCTTTGCTACGGCTGAAGTTCCTAGTATTCTTTCTCCTTTCATCTTCTTTTTCACCCGCCATGACTACTGCTCAACCTGCATCTGGGTAAGACTGCAAGCCGCGACGCTATTCTGCCTCAATTCCGTCCTGGGTGATCGTCTTCTCTGTCCGGGCACCTGGCCACTAACCCACCCGCCGATTTCGCGGAGTGCGACCGCTAGGCTCAGAGCAGAACCCCGCCAACCCGCCAAACGACGCCGCCCGGGCAGCCACCAAGCCCAGATCTATTTGATCTAGGTACTCCGTTGCCTTGCGAAGCGCGCGTGCGTGCTTTTCTCTGCCGCTTCTTCTTTCTTCTCTTGTGTGTTTTTTTGGATAGAGATCAATCCTTCTTGGTTTCCTTTTTTTATCTACCCAACTGCCTGTCCTCAGCCATGGACGAGGTGGAAGACCTGGTGCTTACACCCTTCCGGGACATTGTGGAAAAGGCCAAGCAGGCTGCCCTCAATGCCGGCGACGACAATCCCGAAATGCTCAAGGCCGCCAACACCCTGTCCAGAGAGGGCGACCGCGGCCTGCGACGCATTGAACCCCTATGTCACAAGCAACTGGTCGACTACGGTCCCAACTTTGTTGCTGCTCTGAAGGATAATGGTTTGTTGGCCCTGTCGGCTCCCTACCTACCCTATGCTCTCATCCTCGAGGTAGACCAGGATCACTAACACGGCTCGCAACGCTGGTAGATCAAATTGCCAACTTCCGAAGTGAACTTACAGACTTGCTATGGGAATTCGAAGACTACATCGAAGTAGATGACTTCGACGCCTCGAAATTCACCGAACTGCAGGCCTTGTCTCGCAAAGCCGCTCCCAAGATCTACGACATCCTGATGAGGTTGAAGCTTGAAGTGCCGTTTCGTGATGATATGTCGTCTCGGGGATCGTTTGCGCAAACGTCCGTGTCTACGCCGGCGAGCCCTCCCATCGCCCCTATAGCCGTCTCAATTCCTGTGCCTGTGCCGCGACGAACACCATCAGAGACTTTTCAGGAGAGTCGTGGGGTCGAGGATGCCACTGCCCAGTTGAAGGGGCTAATGCGCGGTTCTGGGAGTGTCGAGGGTAGTGTAAGCGATCCGGGCTATGACTCTGGCGATTACCCTCCCAAACCACCGCTGACGAATCCTTGGGATTGGACGATGAAGCCTGGCGAAACCGAACCGCGGTCCCCAGAGGATGTTGCGAGGGAACGGATGATACTGGCGGACGAGTCTCCTGTGCTGCCATCTGCGTCGGATGTTACCCTCTCTGTTGTGCAACCGCTTAACCTCAGTGCTATCCCACCAAGCTCTCCCCCAGCCGATCCACGTTTGAGCGATCCGCGTCTCAGCGACCAGCGTCTAAATGGTCAGCGTCTAAGCACAAGCAGCACTGGCAGCGTCTCCAGCGGTCACAGCTACAGCCCATTTCCTCATCCTCGCTCAAAAGGTTCCGCCCTGATGTCATACTCGATTCCCGAGAATTCAACTCTAGACACGGCTCCTACATCTCCTTCGGATCTTCATTCCCCACGATCACCACGATCCCCTCAATCCCCACCGCAGACTCGGAAGCTCTCTGCTGCGCTCTCAGTCACATCGGAGCCTGCCATGCCCAGTGAAAACCCACCTCGATCAGACTCCCTCACTAGCCCAACAATGTCCCCAAATCCTTATATCCTCAACAGACAGTCAGCGCCAGCGGCTCCAGGCCATCCCCAACGTTACGCTTCGCCGCCACCAGTAGCACCTCTGCCACCACCGCCTCAACGAGTAGCATCACCGCCCACTTCGCCGGCAGCATCGCCAATATCGCCAACCCAAATATTGGCAGCCCAGGCAACGTCACTCCCACAGACCGTGAATTCAAGTGAACGGGCCGGACTTGAACCCATCCCACGGTCTGCCGAAGAACTGGCAGCAATGGACTTTGGCCCCATCCCCGTCGATTCCGAGCAGGAGAAGAACGAGTCCAATGTTGGGTTCGCTTCCAAGATCAACGCTCAGGAATGCATGATCGACAACACAAGTTCATTTTGGATCGCCAAGGGATTCTGTGATGGCGCACAGGAAGTCATCCGGGGTGGCATTGGCGTCAAGCGGACCAAGAAACCAGTTGTAAGTATCTGCATACTTTTGTTCTGGGCGGCCTCCTTTTACTTGGAAACGCTAACAAGAAGCAGGGTTATGCTAGCCATGCCACCATTGCGAGATGTTCGAGCTGCTTATACGAACTTGATTTCACTCAAATCGAGGCTGATGTGAACAAAGAAGGTGGGACATAATTTACGACACCTTGGTCGATTCGTTTGCTGACTTGAATTTGCAGAGAGGGGCAACTTTTCAAGAAACGGCATCAACTTTAGGGTCAGATTCCTGCAAAAATCCCATCTTGCGACCAAGAGAATCGACGATGTTCAATATGGCTGCATTTATTGTATTCGAGCTGGCCACACGCTGGATAAGAGCGATGCGACGGTCTTCTTCAACCAGAAGGCCCTGTTCGATCACCTTGCCCGGCACCCCCGCCCCTTACCAGACGTCTCCGGTGTCGTCACTATTGAAGGGCCCGAGATGCCCGCCCAGTATGTTAACGACTACGATATCCACTTCCCCAACCCACCCCAGCGTCATCCTTGTATCGAGAGACGCGAGGAGATCATGGGACATCCCAGCGGCGTATCAAAGGATCAAGCTCGACGCATCTACGGCCAGATGTTACTCTACGATAGGACCCCGGCTCTTGAGTTGGGACACAACGCGAGAATCACTGGTATTACCTGGCCTGAGCAGTATCTCGGTGATTGGTGTTTCGCGTGGCATGACGGAACGCAAGCATCCGTCCCCTTCGAACTCATCAGATTCGACCCTCCCCCGAGCAATTTGATTCGATACGATAGGAGCAGTCTGCTTCAAGCAAAGGCCAGGTGGAAGTTTTCTGTCAAGGAAAAGAACAAGGACAAGGATACGGTGAACTGGCTCAAGTTCGACAAGGGCGATGTGATTACCAATATATCTTGTGAGTGGATGAATTTCCGGACCCAAGCACATGAATGGATATTTGCTGACAAGTTTTTCTTTTTTGGCTAGATGTTAACGCGGATAATTGGTGTTGGACTGGCACGAATTCCAAGGGCAAGACGGGCATTTTCCCCAAGGACTTCATCGACACGAAGCAGCTGCATGCTGTCGCAACACCGTCCTCCGCCCGAGCCCTCTCCATAAGCGAGGAGAAGAATCGCTCCCTGTCCGTTTTCAGCAAGCTGGGAAAGCGCAAGAACTCGAGTGCTCGACCTCCCAGCATCGCAGGCTCAACTAGTAGCCACGAAACAGGACTTTCGGCCACCAAGAACGCAGTAAACTGGCGGTAAAGACCGCCTACAGCGAGCATGTGCATGTGAATTCTAGAATGTATACCATTGGACTTTTTTAGAGGTTTGTTTATTTTAGTCAGAGCCTGGAGTTAGTCGGTTTCGGTTGTCGTTTTGGAAATTATACCCTTCTGCTGCAAGTTGTCGAGCTTGCGATCCGTTACGGACGGCTGCGCGTGTCTTTGGGCATACTCTTTGGTTTCATGTTTTGTCTATTTTTCTTTCCTGTTAAATATATCTCAAGAGCATGAAATAGAGAATCAGATTGATCTTTTCAGTTGTGCTGGTTATCAGTAAGCCCGATGAAACCCGAGCCAGTGCGGAAGGAAGAGAGAGGTCCGAGCGCCGTTCTCTCTGGGCAGTCCCCAGCTTATCTAGATGATTGCGACCGATAGGATTGACTTTTTGATTGTTGGCTCCTCCCGGGCGACAAAAGAGGTGCTTCCCGGTTTCATCTTGTCCAGTACCGCAAGGCATTGCCAACGGCCCATCCCCGTTGGTGAGATGCAGCCGCTCACCTCACCCAGCCGCCAAGCAGACTAATCCAGGGGGACGATCTATTCTCAATCAATCTGCCCTTCAGGGTCCAAGGCTGCTTGCTCGCCTGCAAAGCCGTTGTTTCTCGGTATGCTCGTGCTGCAGCCAACGGCAGATCTATGCCACGGATACCAGCGTGCTCCTTCGGCTTGCTTGGCTCTGCTTCGACTCTGAAAATAGGGGATTGCCATGGTCTCGCCGGAGAGAGTAAGTCAGCCAAGCCTTGGAAATGGAATGGCCTGGAAGATGGATGGGTGGATGGGTTACGACATTATGATTTATGCTTGAACATTTTTCACCTCTCATGATGGTCATAGGTGACTGGGGTCAGACCGTGAGATGGCCTTTGCATCATGCTGTGCAACTCGGTTTGCACATAATCACGGTCGCTTGCCCGCCTGCCAAGAGTCGGGGACTCCGGTCTGTGAGTGAACTGCTGGGGCTCTGCCTTAAAGCATTCAATTGTTTAATTAATCAATGGGCCGGCAGTTGGCAGCAGGCATTTGCATAGACGGGCATGAGCTGGCATGAGCTGGCAGCCTTGGCTCATCATCCATGCTAGACCGAGTCCAGGGACGATGCCGCCGAATCTGAAACGCCAAACAACCTCGCCCCGTCTATCATTCTTTTTTTAGGACTCCGCCATGACGGGATAGACGCCATGAACCAATCAATGACTTTACCATGCTTCGAGCCCGGCACACTTTACGGTTCCGCCTGGCCATGTCGTCCGTCAGCGGGGGGGGCTTTTACCGCTGGCCCTATCTCACCGGGGTGTTATTGGGCTCTCGACATCGTCTGGGAAAGGACAAGTCGGGTAACTATGCATTTACCACCGGAGATGACCACTCACACCGCGTTGTTGGCTGTGTGCTGTACCGTGAGAGGGCGGCATCGCATAGCATGTCATGGCATGGCATGGAGCAGCATATAATGCCTTGAGTAGCCCGCCGATACTCACGATGTCTGTCTTGAATCATCAGACTCATCCTCTCTCTTCTGAATCTGAAGTTCTTCTTTCTCTGACCTTTTCGAGTCTTTTGTCCTTCTTGTGACCTTTTTTTCGAGTTCTTACCCCAATACCAAAAAATCAAGATGAGACTTACACTGGCTTCCACGGGCGTTGCAGCCCTCTCTCTGATGGCTCCCATCGCCCACGCCGCCAGCGCTGATGACTACGTCTCCTACACAATCAAGGGCATCGAGTCGATGAACTCAGCATGGTATGATGTCCCCACTGGTGTGTGGAACGCAGCCTGGTGGAACAGTGCCAACACTCTCACAACCTATGCCGACTTTGCCTCTCTCCGGCTTGATGAGGCCAACAAGTTGAACATTGGCGGTTACATGCGCAACACTTTCACAAACGCCCAGAAGACGTCTGTGAAGACCAGCAAGGTATACCAGGCCAATGGTTTGGTCAAGTCTACTGACAAGTTGGGTGGCGTGAGCGCGCGGGGCTTCGCCAACTTCCTCAACGAGTACTATGACGATGAGGGCTGGTGGGCTCTCGCCTTGATCCGCTCCTATGATGTGACCCGCGAGCAGGAGTATCTCGACTCCGCCGTCCGCATCTTCGAGGATATGCAGACCGGACAAGGCACGCCCTGCAACGGCGGCATCTACTGGAAGAAGGACCGCAAGTACGTCAGCGCCATCTCCAACGAGCTCTACCTCTCCGTGGCCGCGTCCCTCGCGAACCGCATCCCCAGCAACCCCCAGTACTTGGAGATCGCCAACAGCCAGTGGGCGTGGTTCAAGAACAGCGGCCTCATCAACAAGGACAACCTCGTCAACGACGGCCTCAACGACGAGTGCAAGAACAACGGCCAGCCGACCTGGTCCTACAACCAGGGCGTCATCCTCGGCGGCCTCGTCGAGCTCAGCAAGGCCACTGGGGACGCCGCGCTCCTCGACACCGCCACCACCATCGCCAAGGCCGCCATCAAGGCCCTGTCCAGCGACAAGGGCATCCTGGTCGAGACCACCGGCTGCGAGAAGGACAGCGCGCTGTGCGGCGTCGACGGGAAGCAGTTCAAGGGCATCTTCCTCAGGAACCTGCGGTACCTCCACCAGGCCAGGGCCAACGACGACTTCAAGAGCTTCATCGTCCGCAACGCCGACAGCATCTGGGGCAACAACCGCAATGGCGACAACAAGTTCGGCGTCGCCTGGACTGGCCCCTACACGGAGGCCACGGGCCCTAGCCAGAGCTCTGCGCTCGATGGGCTCGTCGCTGCCGTTGCTGTCGCTTAATGGTCTTTTTTTCTTCTCTTCTTCTTAGCTTTTTCTTCTTTTTTTCTTCTTCACTAGAGCGATTCTGGATTGGAGTTGGATTTGGGCACACAAGTGATGTTCATGACGAACGGAATGGTATATGGGTTTATTTGGGCACAGCGAACGATTTGATTTTCTTCTTCTTTTTCTCTTCTTCTTCTTCTCTTCACTTTTCTCTTCTTCATTTCTTCTTTCTTTCTTCTTCTTCAACTTCAACTTCAATTCTTCTTTTTATCTTCTTCTTCAATTCTTCTCTTCTTTTTCTTCTCTATTAGGACATTTAAATCTGGGTTTCTTTTAGAACATATTTATTACTGCATTACTTGAAATATATCTTTATACTTCTTGTCTACTGAAATTCAACTGGCTGGCGTAACGTGTAAAGTGAAACATCGCACTGTAGAGAGTCTCCACACAATCCATATGATGTGCCTAATCCACAAGAGCTCAACCTCAATATCTCCTCAGCTGCGTCTTCCAGCTCGGCCGTAGCTCCTTGCCCTGCAACCACTTGGTCATTTGAATCGGGTATTTGAATTTCCGTGTAGACTGGTGAGCAAAAGGCTTCTGGGCTATACTTCTTTTCACGCCAGACACACAATCCTGATACCCCCGCAGCTTTTCCACGATGGATGCTCCAGAGCAGGACTATGACACAAAGCTGCAAAAAGCTTCCCACGAACTTCTTGCCGAGTTCGATAAGTTCCTCTCTAATTTTTTCCGTAAATCTGATGGCAAGGGAGGTTCTCGAGTCCGCTCTCGTGTCCGGGCCCGAGAGGTGCATTGGGCAACCAGCAACGTGAGTTGACACCAGTGATTGACGGAGAATGTTCAGCTTATACGTATATTATTTCCCAGTGCCTAGATCCCTTTCAAGAACTCCCTCAGCTGTTAGATCCCTATCTGTCAAAATGGATTCCTCTGCTCTCAAAGACGTATCTGGAGCGGCTCCAGTCGAGACGTCCTGAGAAGAAGAGTGCTGATCTTTCAAACCTCTTGGTGCCTGTAGAGTTTGCTATATGCAAGATACTCTACACCTTCTGCAAGATAAGAGGAGAGAAGGTCATAGTCCACTTCCTGAACGTAGAGGCCAAGTACTTGGAGCTTCTACTGGGGGACATTGAGGAGGCAGAGCCTTCTACGGGAGAGTCGCCCGCTAATACATGGTCTTGGGAGCAGCGCTACATCGTCCTTCTGTGGCTGTCACACCTGTTACTCGCTCCCTTTGACTTATCCACCATCTCATCTGTTGAGTTGGATGATGCAGCCGCCTCGGACGTTCCTGGCTTGCGGCTGCCGCCCAATTTGCCAGGCATCGCGCTGAGGGCCATCCCCCTTTCCATCAAGTATCTCGCTTCTCCAGGAAAGGAGCGGGATGGTGCAAAGGCCCTTCTAGTCAGGATAACCATGCGGAGAGACATGCAGCAGCTTGGTATTCTGGATAGTCTGGTGCAGTGGTCTCTCTCATCTCTACGGCCAAAGGACGATGGCTCGCCTTCAACCCCCTACTTCTACCTGGGCATTCTTTCTTACCTCGCGGGGATCCTGCAATCATCATCCGACACTTCTGACATGGATAAATACCTGTCTTCCATCTTCGACACAGTTCACAGGCTCGCGCACCAGGAGGACGCGACCTCGAAGACTATCATATCACTTGCTCTGGCGAGAAAGATGATACTCAAGGTCATTCGCACAGTTATTGTCTCTCTTCTCCGGCAGTCCAGGCAAGACATGGCCAGCACAGAATTGACAGAGACGGCAATTGGCTACCTGCTAGAAAATCTATCGGATAACGATACTCCCGTTCGATTCGCTGCAAGCAAGTCTCTCAGTATCATCACCTTGAAATTGGATCCCGACATGGCCTCCCAGGTAGTGGAGGCGGTTCTGGAGTCACTTAATCGAAATGTCTTGTGGAAGAAGAACTCGGGCTCAAAACCTGTACGGGATCTATCCGCTGTGAGCCACCTCGAGTGGCACGGCCTCATGCTCACATTATCCCATCTGTTGTATCGTCGATCGCCTCCGGCGGAGCAGCTGGCCGACATCATCCATGCATTGCTCTTGGGTCTGTCCTTTGAGCAACGAGGGACTTCAGGTGCCAGTGTGGGTTCCAACGTGCGTGACGCTGCATGTTTTGGTATCTGGGCTGTTGCTCGGCGCTACACCACCAAAGAGCTTCAAGACATTTCCACCCAGTCGGTGTTTGCGGCTAGAACCCACCCTGCCTCCAGCTCCATACTCCAGGTTCTTGGTACCGAGTTGGTCATGACCGCTTCTCTAGACTCTGCAGGAAACATCCGCCGTGGTGCATCTGCTGCATTGCAGGAACTCATTGGGCGGCACCCAGACACCGTAGAAAAGGGCATATGGGTCGTTCAAGCCGTTGACTATCATGCTGTTGCACGGAGGTCTAGGGCGATGGAAGAAGTTGCTCTGAAGGCTGCAAAATTGTCTCGACAGTACGGGGAGGCTATCATTGATGGGATCCTGACCTGGCGTGGTATCGGTGATGCTGATGCAGTGTCAAGGAGAGACGCCGGGTCGGCTTTTGGAGCACTCACAGCTGAGCTTTCTTTCGAAGCCTCCGAGGACCCATTTGCTAGGTTTACCGGGGCTATCGACCTGTTATCCGATCGTCTCAAGGCATTGGAGAAGAGACAGGTTGAGGAAAGGCATGGCTTGCTGGTGTGCTTTGCTGCGCTCTTGAATCAGTTCTGCCGGTGGTTCAAGGCGGCAGATGGCGCCCAGAACATGACTTCTCTTATTGCCGATATTATCAACCGAGTGACTGGGATTGTATCCGAATACAAGACCCAGACATACCGCCGTCCTGAGCTTATCGCCGAGGGTGTGAGCCGGCTCGTGTCTTCTCTCGCAGCAGTGATACAAGCTGCACTCTTGGGAGACCAGCATGTCAACGACATCCAAACTATGGATGAGCTATTGGCACAGAATAGTACAGCTGAGTTCCTCGACTTGGTGTCCACTGTGGACTCCGTTGCACAAAAGCCAACAGCAGTGAAGGAGCTGCTGGCCACCTTGAGAGATGTTGTCCCAATGTGGCTGAGCAGGACGGAATCTGATGTCGTGGATTCTGCGTCCACAGCGGCTCTGGTCCTTCTGATATTCTCAGAGCCTGCGGAACGAGCAGACATCCTCGCTGACTGGGCTGCAACGATCCGTAATCGAGGCAGCTCCGGCAAGATCACGACTGCCGATGGGTACTTTTACACTCTGGCTCTTGCTCAGCCACTCGTCACGACGTTCAAGCAGCCCGACGATGACGGCAAGACCGACGTTGTTTGCGAGACCATCCTGGCCAGGTGGAACGCGGATGAGGCTCAGACGGGACTTGCAAAAGTCGAGACTCGAGTTGCCATCTTACAGAGTCTCACTCGGAGCCAGATTCTCCACAACCAGCCACTTGTGTTCCTCGACATACTTTCTGATGGCTTGAATGATTACACAACGACGGCCAGAGGTGACATCGGGTCCCACGTCAGAGTCGAGGCCTTGCGAGCCGTGGGATCTCTCTGGAATAGGATTGGCGATGGTCCAAGCAGGCCAGAGTGGGCTGGTCCATCCATTAGAGCCTTGTTCTACGGTACACTTCGATTGGCGGCGGAAAAGTTTGATCGGGTCCGTCCAGAGGCTCAGGTTGCGTTATCTCTGGTTCTTGAGAAACAGTAAGTGGACCATTTCCTCAGCCCTTTTTTTTCCACAGCAACACACGTTGAGTCTTATCAACACAAACGCCCACTAACTATGGACCAGATATGGTCATGAATTCCGATGGCTAGGTTTGTCCTCTGAAAAGTACTTCCGCGCCCTTCTCCAACTCGTCGACTTGGACAGCCTGCCAGACGAGATAGGGGAGATAGCCAAGGACGAGACTGGCACATGGATGGCGAGTCTGATGGCCGGCCTGGTCACGTCCGCGGACACGGGAAACGAGGACCTCGTCATCGCTAGTCGCGCAGCTCTCACGGCATTCTGCAATGCCTCGCAAAGGAACCTAGACCTCGTATATGGAGCGCTCTTCGATAACCTGAAAACTCGTCAGGGCGAGGACCGGGTTATCGTCCCGACACTGGAGATCACCGCGTTTCTCTTCCACGTCGGTGTCCTCCAGCGAAGCGAAACGATCAACCTCCGCAGCCTGTGCCTCCAGACACAAAAGGCGGGCTACAAGACCGGCAACGTCCGCAAGCTCGAGGCCTGCGTCAAGGTCTACGGAGCGGTTGCTGCTCTGGGTGACCGCCCCGATGACGCTGAGCCGGCCCCTACAACCACGGCGGGCATCCAGGAGGCTCGGAAGAGACTGGGGGCTCTCCTGTTCCACCCATGGCCCAAGGTTCGGACCATGGTGGTGGACGAGCTCTGGGGGCTGGTTGGTGAGCGGGAAGAGGATGGAAATTTACTGACGGGGCTTGACTGGGGGGCAGCGGACAAGAACAAGATCAGGACGGTCGTACAGGATCTTAGACTTGGATGATTAGATCGTCTTAGAGTAGGTAGATGTGAATGATATACCAAAGGGCCAGAAAAAAGGGGCTGAACTACGCAGGCAATCGAGGTTTCCCGCGGCTCGGCATTTGTAGCATCCTCCGTGAACCTCCGGTTAAACGCTGTGATCTCAAGGAAAGTTCGTGCTATATTAAGAGATCCAAAGATCTACAGTGGCTTTCATTTCTTTGTGAGGACGTGGTGGAGGAAGAAATCCGGAGAGCTAAGCATATCTATACACAACCCTCTCCAGCTTTACGAAATGTCTCACACGATGCAGGTCCCATCCTCGCGAGGGTCTTCTTTCTTTTAGTAACTTGAATGTGCTCTTCTATTACCTCGATTTTAGTTAAAAACGGGTGTTTGACAACTTTCTTATATATGAATTAAGACCAATAGTCACTTCTTCAGCTCCACGCATACTCATAACGTAATACCTAAGCGAAAGAGAATAAAGTTTAACAGCAATGGAAGCTGCCAGAGCCCGACAACTCAACACAATGAATACGACTCATAACGTAATAAGCTGGTCGTTTGCATCTCGATGCCAACCACCTCCATGATGGATTATCGCGATGCAGTTTTGAAAGTCAGAACTTTGTTTAAGTAATCTGCTCCTATAATGGAGCAATGCTACGGGAAGGGAGGCTAACGATGGGCCTAACCTCGTACTAGTATCAGTGGCATCAGCCTTGGTGCCGTCTTTCACGCCTTCGATCTTCGACTCAAAACATCCATCCATTCAGCCTTGTAGTCTCCAGGTGGCGCAGACCAAATGGGTCAAATGGGCCAAATGTGTGCAGCCTTTCCAATTTTAATTTCGCGTTCTCCCGGCGTTCTAGGCTGGAATTTAGGATGGCAAGTGGCTGAAATAAAACATGGCACACCAAGACTCTTTTCACGTCAGGTAGGGACCTCATTTTTTAAATCACAAATAGGTATTCCACTTCCGCCTTGTGTTTAGTCGAGGACCTGTCCGCCGCATGGTTACACTATCTTTGCCTCCTCAAATTGCGTGCTACGTGATCCTTATTGAGCCCGTGGTGGCCCCGTAGGATATTCTCAGATATCCTGGTCATTTGATCAATTGAGTTTCACCCAAAAACACTGCAATCAACCTAAAATCGGTGGCATGACTCAATTCTAGCTACGGGTTGACCTGTCTAGCGATTTCCAACATCGCGACACTCGTCATCCATACTTTTAGGTAGCTACAAGATAGTGCTCTACTCAATAGCTATTCAGCGTGAGAAAAAATGATACTTGCAATTAGGGAGCAGGGTTAGGAAATATCTGCGACATCTATGCAGCTCATTCAATCCCCAACGTGGCGGTCTGAGATGGCCTCAACAGAGCCATGTGAGCGCATCGGGGAAAACCGCCAGGGCGTTAAGGTTTCCCGTTAGCGCCGTCTCCGCCGCTGTCTTCGCAGCGAGATGCGGCGGGCAGGTTCTAGGCACAGGGCACGTCTCATGCACTAATGCACTGGAGATTAGCAGCCAGGGATCGGGGGGCACGTAGATCGCTGGTAGGTGTCATCAACGGCCAGCCAACGGAACTTTCCCAGCCCAATGGCCACATATAGCCTCCCTATGCCTTCGGATAGTCCCACAACGCCCATGGTTGATCGCGTGAACGGGTCTCGCTGCAACTTCGGCTGGAAAATTTAGAGTAATGGGAGGGGCGAGGGGCAGTGGCCGTCATCAAGCCCGAGCGCGCAAACTGCTGGGTCCTTATCACCACCAACGAATGGACAAGTGTGTGTATGGGCCTGGCACGGAGTGTGAACCCTGGGCCGCTCACCATGAACAGCAGGTGTTGGCAGATACCCAACTCTGGGCAGATATGGCGAGAGTGGTCAATCAGCGAGGAGACGAGATTGCTGTTGCAAGTCATCGGCTCCGGCCGACCTGTGCCACCCCCAACCTTGCACACGACCGCCAGGTGGTGTCGAGTATCTGCCTTGGTGGAACCAACCACCGATTAGGATACTCAGGCTGGGGGAGGGGAAACAAGGCATGGACCCCGACATACGTATCTAGGAAAGTACCTTTCTCTTACCTAAGTTTTGAGATGGAGGTAGCACAATCAGGAAGACTCATGCCGCTATCTACGGCGATATCATGGTAAGCGGAGCTTCATATGCACACTCCTCCATGCTCTGCTCTAGCTCTGGCACCAAGATCTTGGCTTCGGTCGTCGACAAAGCGCAGAACCCCAGATTGTTTCACATTGCCGTGTGCGCTCTTTGCTTCTCTGCTTCCACCCATCAGCCATCGACCGCCGAGTCGCGGCCGCCCAGCGTAGTGTCTCATGGTGGCACCATACAGTACATGCTACCACCATGTGGGTGATCTCGCCTGCAGGTACAGTGGTACTGGATACATGCGCATGCGAGCAAGCGGTAGCTCCCAGGATGACGACTCCAGCCGCTATCGAGGGCTGCCCCGCTGACACCCCCCATGACCCGGCAGAGTCAAGGGTCCCCCCATGTCTTACCTGGGCAGGTCTGTCACAGAACTGGGCCAGTGGTGGGTGGGCGGAGTCTGGAGATAAACCAACCTCGGTGTCTGACGGACAGACACCGCTTATCTCTGCAAAGCTTGGGTGCTCCAGGCCTGTGCTCGTGCTCTCCTCCACCGACGGCTTGGGGGCATTTGGGGAGATGCGTATAGAGCAGGGGCATCTAGCCGGAACCGATCAAAGGGAATTTTGTTCATCCCACACGCGAGATTGGGGCTTGAATGGGTGGGTGGTGGTTGGCCTTCCTTGATAAGAGGTTTTTCAGCTTCATGCTGCTGCACCCGACGCTTGCCCTATACGGAGTGTTACCATCAGCATTTACAAATCTACAATGTACACTGCCCTTGCTGCGGCCTCGTGTGTGTGTGTGTAGAAACGGCAGACCAATATGCTGCTTCGCCCTACGCGTAACAGCGTCAGCTTGTTTTCAGAGTGTTTGGTTGGCCGTCGGCCAGGAGCACTTGACCAACGAAATCAGTTGACAAGCTTGGCTCGCACTTTGGTATCAGGACATCACACAGAAATGAGGCAATAGGGCCAACTAACCGACCTATCGATGCTAGCTTCTCCCCGCCTGCTCCTCCTGCTGCCGACCGCTCGCTAGTGTTCTCTTGTCCCTCCTTATCTCTACCAGGGACTATCGCCCTATCTCACATATGTAGGTACCTGGTAAGGTAAGAAGGTACAGGCACTGATCAGTGGCGATCCAAGACCCGACTTCGACCACGCCCAGCCAGGAGCGAACCTGACTCGTATTGCAGCCGCCTCGTAGCCTTGTAGAGTTGCCATGGCCAATTTCAATCCAACGTGTCTATTGCCTGCGTCAATTCCAATAAACGAGCCTGTGCATGTGTCGGCAAGCTGGCAGCGGGCGCACGCCTAGAACTAGCGATATCCGCTGCAGTACCTACCTAGCATTCCTGGTACCTGGCGATTCAGGTAGGCCCAGGCCTAGGCAGGGGAAGACGCTAAAAGGCCACCAAGCCAACGGTGTGTGTATGTAGGATAGATTCTCTAACTCTTGGAGCCGACACTAACAGTCCCAGCGGGGCGGAGTCCTGTAGGAGGAGGGCCAGATAGAGAGGTACGTACTACAACGGGCAGCGAGTAAGCACAAGCAAGCACATGTTCCGCCAGCATCCCAGCCGCCATCCATGCCCGTAATGCGTAAGTAGTGTAGGCAGGTACGTAGGTAGGTAGGTGCTCTTGAGTGTGTGTGTGCAAGCACTTTCCAATCTTGCTTGCTCTCTGCTGCTGTACGGCAGGCAGGAACGTGCTGCCACCACCCCTCCGCCTCTCTGTGCTTGCTATGCCCGTTCTGCCCACCATCCACCGTTCCTTCCAATCTCTCCTCGTCTCTTCCTTGTACACCCTATCGTATCTTATTAGTTCCAACCTGCCTTTTTTTGCTCGTCCGTTTTCTTTTACATCTTTGTCCTTTCCCCAAGTCCCGGGACCTTGAGGAACATCACCCGACCCAATTTCATCAAAAGTGCGGCACTGCTCGGCTCTGACCTCATAGCCCAATTTTTTCTTGGTCTTTGCACACGAGCACTTATCCCAGTTGGTCCCTCCACATCTGTCTGTGCTCAAGGTCCGCCACTGCTTTGTTCTGGATTCTTCGCAAGTCGGCAACCTGCATCACCAATTCGACGTCCTTTCCCATGCCTCACAGAACCGTAGACCTCCCCAGATCGCCTGAGCTTCCCCATGCAGTTGTGAGGACAGCGCTCAGTCATTCGACGACAAGTTTGTTGCGGCGGCGCACACGGCCGTGGGCCTTGACCAGGCACTATTCCGACGACACCTCGAATTGCGACTCGCCCTTCACCTCATAGCCTTCTCCTCGCTCGTCGCACCCTCTGCGGAGGCCGACGGGCGCGGACTCAAGTCGTCCTTCAGCATGTCGCTATACTCCGAACCCCCCTCTCTGCGCGAGTTCAAGTACGACAAGCCCACTTTGCTCGTGTGCTGGTGGGCAACCGCACTATGCACTTGCACCATATTCTTCCGCGTCACCGGCCGCTTCATCAGGACGGAGAGGTTATTCAAGTCGGATCGAATATCGGCGCTCGCCCTCGTACCGTTGTATTTGCGCATGGCCTGCGTGCACTACATTCTTCTTTATGGGACCAACAATTCGGATTTTGTCGGGGTTCAACTGAGTGACGAAGAAATCAATCGCAAACAGGTCGCCAGTGGTTTGGTGCTCCTTAGCCGCATCAGCTACGCTGCAACGTATGTGGCTTGCCCGTTTTTGCTTTTACCCGCTGAACCGTTGGCTGGAGAAGGTTTCACTTTGCAGTGGAGATGGTGCCTTTCTTTGGACAAATTGTGTCTGAGCTCATTGACTTTTGGAGAATTGGAGCTAACCAACGGACGTTTCATTTTTCTAGGCTCTGGATTCTGAAATACACCACACTTGAATTCTTTCGGCGACTGACAGATGTCACTTGGGAACGGTCC